TATACAGATATAAAGAGATATAAAGGTTTACTTTAGAGTGGTTTACTAGTATTACTTTAGTGATGTCTTAAGGAAAGACAAGAAATCTTTTGCAGTCACCTATTCATATGATGCCTAATCAATGACAGCGAAGTTATCAGTAACTGCTGTAGAGCAAAAATGCTGACCCTTGAGGAGCACCTGCCTCCACTACTGATTGGTGGTAGGGTTTTTATTAATCAATTGTTTATTTTCTGCATAGTGTTCCTCTGCATGTTGTTTGTTTGTTTCTCTTTGACCTATGGTTTTTAATTGCCACCTTGTTAGTTTCTCTCCCTTTTCTTAGCCCACAATTATAGATTATGGACACAACAGTTACCCTACTGTTAGTTTCTAAGATAAAAAAAAAATGATATTATCATTTTTTTCCTTATTGTAAAGATGCATGTTCTTGGGCATTTATAGAAAAACATACTAAGATCATTGAAATGTTATTTTAACTGGGAAACACTCAGGTGAATAATGCAGCTTCAATTTTTTTTTTATTCAATATTTGTATGACTGAAAAGTTGTTCAGTAAAGAATTTATTAAAATATGACTTCTGATCATGCTGATGATGGGTTGGATTAAACACTTTACAGTTAGTTTAATTAGGAATTACATCAGGAGCAATGATTCCTTACAGATTCAAGTTGCAAATATAAAGTTAAGGAATAAAATGTTGATATGGTATCAAATGCTTTTAAAACTGCAGTTTTAAATGAATAAACAAATTCTGCATAAACGCTGTCACTAATGATTTTCTTGTAGACGAAACGAGAGTCTGGCATACACAATTTTAAGCCTGGTATCAATGATGAGTTTTTTGGCATGTTTGCTTACTATTGTGCCGCTTTAAGACTTGTTTCCAAAACTTTTGTTCTTGAGTGCACCTGATGATTAGGTAACATGTCTTAAGTAACAGTGTTTTGGTATCTGTGTGCTGCATTTTCTACGAATTTCTTGCAATTGTTATATGATGTCGAGTTTTTTCATTCCTAACATAAGAACATTCTTACAATTCTTTATCAATGAAATGGTATAACCTTGTGGGAAAAGGATACCGGACTCGGCAGTTAATAAACAGAATGATTTACGGACAGGAGGAGTTAATGTTCTCTGAGGTAGAGAACTGAAATAATATGATGGATAACTGCTGGCTAGCAAATAAATTTTTACTGGCAAAGGAGATCTTGAGTAATTTCTAAGTCAGAACATAAGTTATGTTATAAAATTGAAAATCATAGACCTATTATTCTAACTAGGAATGGATAACTGTGACCAGAAACGTTATTTGTACTGCTTTTTTTTATTAAAACATTGGATGCTGATAAAATGACCACAGAAATTACATAATGTCAACATTGCCAGTATCATTATTGAGTGTGTCGTTATTGGAAAAGTAGGCTTTCTGAAAATCAAACTTGTGAAATGTTAATAAGAATTGATTTGTACTGAGTTATCTTTCTTCATACAACAATTTAATATACATTGCCTTACATATTACAGAAAAAATCAGTTGTAAAATAGAATTGATGATCTGATTATTTCAATTCATTTCGACCATTCACATATGATGTTTGTAGGGCACTTTGTTGAAATTACAGAACTCTGAGCGTTCGGACCAAATAAATGAATTTGGGTATTTTGGTAAAGGGTAAAGTGACTGGTTTTTACACACCAAACTTATAAAGATTTATTCTTATATTGTAGTACTGGATGGATATTGCCTCTGGTGATCTGTTAGTCCCCAAAGGAATCATTAGCCGCGAAGTTGGTCAGTTGCATTGGCAATGAGATATTTTGAAATTATTTAGAAACAATGTTCTAATTCTTGAGTTGACCTTACAGGTGTTTGGATATTCCTTTTTGATGGCTTTTGGTCAGGTATTTACAATCAAAGTATTGTTCTAATGCTCATGGCTTTTAGCGCCTGCATACGGAGTATATATATCCTAGTTGGTACGACATTCCAGAGCTTGCAGTTCCAATCATGATTTCCTTTATACAGTATTGCTGCTCACGAGTTGGCTGACCGTTAGGGAATACCTGTTTCACAGATGACGACGGATATGTTGCAATTGTCGTTACCACAATCCCGTCCTTTTTTCGCCGAATATGACCTACTGAATTAGGCTTAATCACCGGGTTTTTTCTTACAAGATCAACACGACGGTACCACATGTGGAGCAGGATCTGCTTACCTTCCGGAGCTCCTGAGATCACCCCCAGTTTTGGAGGGGTTCGTGTTGCTCAGTCTGTAGTTTTCTATGTTGTGTTTAGTTGTCTTTATCTATTTTTGCCTTGTCGTTGTCAGTTTATTATCGACTTGTGAGTTTGGATATCCCTTTGGTATCTTTCGCCTCTTTTCTATAACATTATAATATATTAAACTATAAAAGTTTTTTTTCTCCACCAGAACCAGTTGTCAGCACTTGTGTTGACATGAAAGATCAACGATACGTAAATTTCCCTCAAATAAACTGTTTATTAGATATTTGAATTTTTCAAAACTCTAAGTTTTTGTCTACCCCCAGGTTTACCTTAACAGTATTTGGCACAACTTTCGAATATGTTTGGTTTGTAATGCTCTTTAAACTCGTGTTTAATTTAAGCTTCAACTGTTTTGATTTGAGCGCCTCTGATGAGTCTTATGTCGAAGAAACACGCGTCCTATTACTCATCTATTTGTTATTTTGAATTAGTGCAACTTTTCACCTCTTTATCATTGATGACATTGTTTTCAGTATTTTCATTAAGTGATCACGATCTTCAAAACATAAAAGTGTTTTTCTTATAGATTCTGTTTTATTGGTATTAAATGTTCAAGAATCTGGTTTGTGTTTTTATTACCTTAAATGAGGCAAATATTGAAATCATCGTTTAAAACCATAAATACAATGGGTATATAATGATACATTACATATATACTGATGGTCCAAATGACAACTTTTACACTCTATCTTGACTTACATCTAGAAATTAACAATGAAGATCGGTTGAGAACAAGACTTTACTGCAAAAGAGATGATTTCAGCTTCCCGATTGTGAACTTTCCAGGTCTACGTAGCAACATTCCAGCAGTGCCTTCATATGGAGTATATACATGTATCTCCCAGTTGTTTCGATAATCCAAAGCTTGCGTTTCCCATCATGATTTTTTGATAGAGGGTTGCTTCTTACATTGGAGCTATTAAACCAAGAGTTCCAAGTGCTTATGTTGAAATCATCCCTTCGGAAATTTTACCGACTTCACCACGAGTTGATTGACTGTTTTTTAATATCTGTTTAACAGATGCCGACGGATATGTTCCAATTGTCGTTATCAGAATCCCGTCCTCTTTTCATCGAATATGACCTACTGAATAAGACTTACCACCAGGTACATAATTACATGAGTAAGGGAGCTACCATTTGATTTTTTTTTTTTTTTGGGGGGGGGGGGGGGGGGGCGGGGGGGCTAAGATGAAAAATTGTGTCCTGCATTTTTTTTTAGTTGTAATCTCTGTCCTGCTTTTTTATTTTTCACTCTATGCTGTCCTGCCTTTTTTTTATTAGTTATCTTGACTTGTGTTACATAAATTGTCATCCTGCCTTTTTTTTTTGCCAAGTTGCTCATCCTGCCTTTTTTTTCCTCAAAACTCCTGTTCTGCCTTTTTCAAATTTCATCCTAGCCCCCCCTCCCATAAAAATCAAATGGTAGCTCCCTAACACGATGGGTGTCACATGTGGAGCAGGTTTTATCTTTTTAGTTTGATTGCTTTCTCAGTTACGCATACTCCATATCACACATTATTAACATGTCTTTGAGGGGGATGGCACTCTTTTTTGGATGTGGGATATATGGGTAAGAAAGTTCTGATGTGGAGTAGAGGGTGGTAAAACAGTGCGGATGTGGAGTAGAGGGTGGTAAAAAAAATGCGGATGTGGGATATAGGTTGTAAAAAAGTTGAGTCTTGGGAAAGATGGGAAGTGTGGAAAAATTACAAAAAGCTGGATTCGGGAAATTAGCCCCTCGTCTTTTGATTTATTTAGAAGATTTTTTTTAGAAATTAAAAGACCTTAACAAATATTTGCCCCAAAAAATGACATAAGCAGGGGTCAAATACCTGCTTGTAACTTTGCTCTTGATTGCAACAAACAAGGTCTACGCCTTTGGAAGGGGAGAATACTCGTATTCAATCGTCACTATGATTTATTTTTGGAAAAGTGCTTTGAAGATGAATTGATTTTTATACAAATTTTATAGACGCCATATATTTTGTTGACGTGAGCGTTTCGACTTCTACAGTGTAAGAATCAACCAATCCCGGAAACTTGTTAACTTCTTTGCAAGGTCATTTAATGTATTATATAAGAACGATGTTCATTTTATTGGGTCAATATAGTTTTTGTATAAGTATATCATAAAATATGAGAGGATGAAATAAAAAGTTTGATGTGAACATAGGTATGTTTACAACCAGGATGTCTTAATGACATTCATTCTTTGTAGGTAGACAAAATCATATTAAGATAGTGGAAGGAATATTTATTAGGTGAAGTGACAATTCACCAATATCATAAAGTATATGTGATATAAGTAAATACGTCTGTGTTTGAATTAAAGGTATAAAGTGTCGAAATGATTTAGTTCTTAATGTTTGCATAATTTTACATAAAGTATACTTGAAAAATCAATGAAGATAAAAAGTTTTAAATTGCTGATTTAGCTGATTTCATTGATGGGTTTTACCGTCGATTCATATGTGGGTGTTTATTTCATGAATTAAATTCCAAATTTTATTGCACAATATATAGATCGAAATATATTTTGGCTTACCTGTATACTATTATATGTAAAATATTTTAATTCATTTTTGTTGTCGTTTATAAGTTTGCATTTTTAAATACCCTGATATTTTCTTTGTAAGTCTACAAAAACGTTTCAGTAAAACAACTTTCAGTTTTTCATTTAATTCTAGTCTTGCAATTTTTTCAGAGTTCTTGTCGATCTTGGCCTTCCGTCAGCAACATCAGCAACCAGGAGCCTTTGGGCGATCAGATATTTTTGTTGTATGTAGATTGAAACCTCTGACGTTCGATATTATGCATTGTGAAAATGAAATCAGTCATTGCAAATGGATGAGTTTGGAAGAACTACACGCCAATACGACAGACATTTCACCAATTACCCACAGAATGTGTCAGATTATGTTACATGGTATACAACATGGATTTGATAACGTCGATATAAGGTTTAAGGAAATGAAGTCGGTTTATAAGGGTCTGAAGTATAAATTGTATCATAGACCTCTACCTTAACATTTAACTATAAGTCACAAGTCTTCCACAGTTTGTATTTAAGAGGCATTATAATAAACTATTTATTTAAGAACAACTGTTTAATGTGTTACGTGAAAGTCTATTTCAGAACGACTGTTTTAGTTGGTATGGATTTGTTGTCAGTGTGTTATGGTTTCACTTTAGGTGCCTACAATACATTGTGGACCAATTTCGCTTGTGTTGGGCATGATACATTTCCATTATGTTTTGTGTTCATAATTGCCCCGACGAGTCACCATATTTACACGTGAAAAACGAGCAATTGTAGGTCACAGTGATAACTTAACAAAGATTTTAGTTATTTTACAAAAACGATTATATATTCCATTACCATCTTTGCAATGGTGTTTTTATCGTCCACTTTTTTATTAAGATTTTTACTGTTTTCTGCCAGCATAAGTCATCAATATTTTATTGGTTTTGATAAACAATGTAGATTTGTTTCAAATTCTCATCTAAGACTTAGTTCATCATTTTTTTCCTCTAAAATTTGCAATCTTTATAAATCGGAAGCATACCACAGCAGTCAAATAAAATTAATGTATACGTTTAAAAGTAAAAGACTGATCATTGTAATTCAATGAATGGTGCCTTGACATAACTGTATACGTAAGCTCTACACTTGTGGCCTTTCTGTATTAGGATACGTGATAACTCTAAATATTTTCCCATGAAAAAGTTTTAAATTAAAAAAGCGGTGATTATAAGTTCATAACATCATTGTTTCATTATCTTTGTCCGTAATCCTTTTACATACATTAGGTTAGAGTTTCTTTTCCAATCAATTGATCACCAAAATCTGTCGTTTATTTTAGACTTTCTTTATCAATGCCTTACTTACTTTAAATATTTATCCCAGATTACATGATTTATTCAGACAACTTTGCTTTTTGCACAGCGATAATTTTTATCAATGAAAAAACTTCAAACAAAATTAAGATTTAGTGAACAGCTGGGAGCATAGTTGTTAGCTCTGTCAACTAATAGTACATGTTAATTTGATTAAGCTTAAAGGTTTCATTCATCCCCGTCACTATAATTACAGGTTTCGGGTATTTTACTGGTTCAGATAGACAGATAAACTTTGACATACGAGCTGTTCCACAAGTGCACATTGTTTCTTTTGGCTGAAATCGAATGTACTAACCAGTTCCAATAGAGAGATGTAGAGGAAGAAAGTGTATGCATGTGTATGCGTTTTCTGGTGTTTCCTTTAAACGTTATCGAAGATGCCAGCATGGCTTATTGTTTAGTACGTCAGACGAACGTTTTGTATATAAATAAGAAGATGTGGTGTGATTGCCAATGAGACAACTCTCCACCAGAGACCAAAATGACATAGAAGTTTACAACCTAAGGTTTCGTCTATTTTAGGCAACACTCGTCAGTGACCCTTGAGTGAAAAATTGTTGGGACAGTCAAACTCAATTACAGCGTAGAAAAGGAATCAGAGATGATCATTGTATCTTAAAAATCAATTGATACCATTGGAAGTTCTTCCAATATTATTGCACCACTGTGTAACAGTTGAAACAAGAGAAATGTTTTATTCATGTTTTTATGTTTGAGAGTTTTATGTTGACAGGTATAAATGTCAGGTCTTGGATTTAAGAGTTAAAATAACCGTCTGTATTGACACTACTCATATAATAAAATGTTCTGTATATACAATTAAGCCAATGAACTCCAGACGGGAAGGGATGAGAATTGACGAGAAGGGACTGGTCAGACTAAATATATGTGTCTTTATTATGTGGTAATAAAGCCAATGAACTCCAGACGAGAAGGGAAAATTATTGACAAGGAGGTTCTGAACAGACTAAATGTATCTGACTTTATTAGGTGGTGATCAGAACGCCTATAGAAATGGTGATATGAAAGTCTGAACCTTAATTACGTTACAGGAAATATTAGTATGTCTGTGTCCTAGTATCCGATAAAAGGTGAAAATTGATTTATTAATGCGATTTTTATCCCTGTCAAGATACTCTAGTCAATATAAATTACCTATAATTATCTCCTCTTGTTAGTTAAAGGTAGACATCAAAGGAAAATTCAGGCGGCTGTCCAGATTTAGTTTTCTTTTTGATCAATCTCAAGCTTAATAAATGTTCATGATATATTCAATTTATATAACCCAATGTTAATTTATTTCTTTGATGTTCAGGACAGTCATGGTATTCAGTGATGGGGATTAGAAATATTTCAGAGTTGTCGCCCGTTTGTCAGAAATCATCAGTAAAATAGCCACATAACAATAAGTTTCATGCCAATCACTTTGGGTTCAGTCCGTGATTCGAACATACTGTACGGTTTGGATATCGGTTTTATACCAATGCTGAATGTTTCTTTTTTACTACTTTCTTACATTGCATTGATATATTGTTCGAATTTCAGTGACGGGTATTTTGAAAACAATTGTATTATATTTAAATCATGTCTTTATTATTATTTTTTTCAGTTCAAATATATATCTAAAATAGGAAATCGAATATCCAGAGTTACATTCGTTTCAGCTGACATTTTTAGAAGTATTTTTCTGCTAATTTAAAGGCGAACTTGAAGCTCGGTCGTTTTTTTTTCTACGACCCACTTTTTGATCAGTCAACCTGATGATAAAATATAGCATCCACTAACCCCTCCTCAAGATTAATAGTATGTTGAACTTTGATTAGTGTTTATATATATATTGCTTGCAAGATTGTTAACATGGTTAATACCAATTTTCTTTTTATTTACTTTTGTTACGGCGACAACTCTGATATATTTGGGGTCCCCGTTAACTAGAAACAAGTTTTCAACGAAATATTTAAGAAATAGCGCATAACCTCAAACTGTTAACTAAACAATCATCTACAATTTCTGTATCTATTGTCTGGTTTGTTATCATGACAGCTGGAAACTGGTCACTATGGTCAGTCCTCAAGGTGACCTTAACCATAATTGATTACAGTATGGGTTTGAAATTGAAACTTAATTTGCATAAGGACCATTTACGCAACTGTCATTACTTTGCGTTCGTCAGCTGTCGACAACATTCTTATTTTATTTTTCTACTTTCCATTAGGGGCACATACTTTAAAAAAATGTTATTTCCTAAGTTCCAATGTTCACTGTTACTGATAATGGAACATTGGGAATAAAAATGGAGAATTTGAAAAAAAGCAAAGTTAGTTGGGAGGGGCTTTCTTCAGCGCAAGGTAGAAGTTGCGCAATACGCTCTATCATCTTCCTTCGTCACGTATATTGATCAGGAAAGTTTTCCAATAAAGAGGACTCTGGTGCAAACATGTGGAAATTACAACTTCTACTTATCATCATTTTATAACATCTCAAAGCCAGCTGGACACCGGTCAGACTGACCATTATCTCTCCATATCTATTGACCTATGTTGACGTCGACGTACAAAAAAAATAGATCTAGGTCTTGCCATTAAACGTTTCTTTACCTAGAGAACCTGGTGTCAGACATCAAAGGATCTAAAGAGAAGCAATACACATTTCTTTATAATACATAGTGACCTATCATTATACGAAGGTAATGACAGGGACATATGATCTTAGGTCTGTAGGTTTCTATTATCTAAACTCAAGGTCACGAAGGTCGTTGATGGGAAATCTATTTTCAAGTAAAGCATACAATTTAAATGTTTAATTTAAACGATGCTGCTCAAGTCACTTTAATATAAGTCTACGCTAACAAATAGAACAAGATTAGTATATATAAAGATGTGACCCTTAGTTGACCTTACACCCAGATCTGAGACCCGTCAAGTGGTAGAGATGTACTTTTCACATAACAAAACACATTATTCAATTCTTAAGTAGCAATTCAAATTGTATATTTTAAAGCATCGTTCTGTAAAAGAAAGATACATACATCTAGACTATGGTTTTGTAAGCCTTCAATTGGTATATAATTTTATGTATGTTACCATAAATTATTACGAATAAGTATGTTTCTAGTTCAATATGTCATGACAACAGTGACCTTCAGCTATAGTAACTATTAGTAAGTACTTTTATCTAGAAAGACTAGGTGTATAATAGAAGGGGGAAAGCGTGATATTAACAATAAAATTGAACGGAAATATATAATAAAAAACAAATTGTTAAACAATCTTGCTAAAAACCTTATAAAAATAACGCAATCAATATATCTGGAGTATAAAACACTCTTCTATTGTTTTAGCTACATAACGTACTCCTGATGGACATTTCAATCCAATCGATAGAAAAGAATTTTCGCTTCTTTTCATTACACCTATTCATGTTTAGTACCACTCTGTTGATTCAAGCCTCTTCCAAGTGATATTTTTCGAGCCTGCGACATTTATGTCGTGGAAGCGAGACATAGCGATCCTACATTCCGTCGGTGTCCTTAAGTTCAAGACGTTGTAAAAGTTTTCTTAAATGACGATTGTTTTTTTTTTTATGAGTTGGGTGTTTGTGATTGATGTTGTTGGCGGTTTTTGTTGAGGTCCATGTTGATCAGTCTTTAGTTTCCTATGTTGTGGTTGGTTTACTTATGTTTGTACTTTGGTCGTTTTTCGTTTTGTTGCCATGGCGATGTCAGTATGTCATCGACTTATGAGTTTAAGTATTCCTTTGGTATCATCCGCCTCTCTTATACAAAATGTACTGTGGGTTTGTTTTATTTACTTATTCTTTGCGATTCAACATCCTATACTCGTCCCGTTAGAAACTCACTATCAAATATGGTGGCAATACTCATTTTAATCACGCTTTCAACTATTTATGAAGTGTGAACATTCTTTTAACGTGTGTCTAAGCTGTGCTCCGTTGAGGGTTAGTTTGACATTTATATGGGCTTTTCTTACTACGTGCATTATATATTTGTTCTGTGGGCCTTCGATCTGACATATTTTAAACATATTCCCGATATTGTTTTTATCTTTCCAGTCTCTTTTTCCTCCCACTAAAAAATCAAGTGGATTGGTTGTTTCTTACGTCCTGCAGCCTATATATTATATCTTTATTCTGATTAACCTGTGTCTATACCATGGTAAACAGAAATTTACAGATATAAATAAAA